CTTTGATGGTGTGCCCCACTGGTGACACCTCTGAGATCAGATATGCTTCTTTCCCACATCCTTCAGGTCCACTGATAAGAAACCCAAGGTGTTGGAGAATCCTCTGCCAGAGGTAGTCGGGACTGCTGAGAGTCAGGCAACTTCAAGCCAATATGCCCCCAGCCAGAACAGCAGATCCCTGGAGGAGAAACCCCAGGAATCAAGCCATGTAGAGGATCCAGGGGGCTCTAGTTGGCCTCCTGAATCCCCAGGGCAGGTCCCTGGCCAGACAGATCCTCATGGTAGGACCTTGAAGGGAAGAGGAGGAAGCCAGGATACAGCAACGGATGATAACGGGAACAATAGTAAGCCACGATGGGACTTTGAGAAAATTGCGTTCCCTAACATGGCCTGCGATCGCCGCCATACCCTACTACTTGCCCCAGCTCCAGAGTTGCTCCCACAGAATGTCACTGCACGGGAGATTGATGCAGCCCCTTGGTGCCAGCAGCTGAATCAGCGGAAAGAGAAGCTTTCCAGGAGAGAGAGGGAGCAGCAAAGGGGGACTACTCCCTTCCGAAGTGATGTGAATGCAGACCCTGAGGTGCAGCGCTGCACCAGCTGGCGGGCATATAAGGAGCTGCTAAAGCGGCGGTGGCAGCAGAAGGCCTGGAATCAACCCCCTAACTTGTGGGACCAGCCAGTCACTCCCCTCCTGACCCCTGGCCAAGCAGCAAGCCCAGGTATAACTGTCTTCTGATCTTTTTAGCCCCCATCCACATCCAGGTCTCTCACTAAATCCTGAGAGAAGAGGGTCAGTTTGGTGTGCTATTTCAAGGGGAAGGCCTCACTGCTTTGGAATGGGATATGGTTTTAGCAGGGCTGTTTGACAATGTGGGGAGCTTTGGGCTTGAAAACCACAGAATGCATTGCATACTTAACAGGAGAGGTATTGCATGGAAGAAACTTTACAGGTGATACTGTCTGGTGTCCTGGGGACCTTAGTAAGAGCCATTCAGGACTCTAGGCTAGGACAACATGCCATATGGCAAAGGACCAGAGAGAGACAATTCAAATGATCAATGATTAATGGGAGAATGAGGGAAATAGGACTTGTCCATCTATAAAGAATAAGGTTGAATAGAGAAGCAAAGTGTATAAAGACATGAACTATACAGAAATGGTGAAAATAGACTTGTTTACTAACTAGGACAGGGGGTGGATCAACCTTGGTGCTCGAGGGAGGTAAGTTTAGGACAGATGAGAGGACCCTGTCACTCAACAAATATTTAAATTATGGAACTCATTATTTCAAGAAATGACACAGGCTAGAAATGTGTGGTTTTTTTGTTTTGTCTTGTTTTTTAACCCTCAGATTAATTCACAGAGACCAGCTCCATAGTGGATTCTAATTTTTTTCCTTCCCAATGCAGCCACTGTCCTACAACAGATCTCCTTACTGCAGACCACTCATCTCACTGATGAAGTTGATGGGTAGGTCTCTAGAGCAGTATTTCCCCAGTTGTTGGGGAGTCTGGAGCCCTCTCAGTGTTCTTAGGGGCTTTGAGTCCTCTGCACCTCAGACGTCCAATTTTGATCTCAGCCATAAAGTGATTGGGCTGGAAGGGAGGAACCCCCCCCCCCAGTTCTTCAGGCTAGGAAAACTTAGCAACTTCTCTCCTCTTCAGGAGTTAAATGGGGGTGGGGGTGCTAGAGCGAGTGGACATATGTGGGCTCTCTCAGCCTCAGGGATTAGGATGGAGGAAGTGTCTGGGAATATTAGTTCCTGTCCTAGTAAATGAGATAATATTTATAAACCACGGTGCCTGGCACATAGTAGGTGCTTTCTAAATGCTCTGTTCCCTTACCTCCCCCACTTCTTCCCTTATGCCATTTTAGTCTTATGGCCCCTTGATCTCTTTTCTGTCTGTCAGTAGGCTGTTGGAGAAGTCTGGGGACATGGAGATCAGTTTTGACATCTATCAGGCAGATAGCGTATCCAGTTTCCGGAAAAATGACCCAGGAAGGCCATATGCTCGGATGTGCATCAGTGGGTATGATCCAGAATGAGAGCTGAGGCCTAGAAGCAAACCAGCTCTCTTTTCATCCCTACTCTACACCCCGTTTTCTCTCGAGATCATGCCATAGAGGATTGGATGAAGCAACTGGGGATGTTTAATTTGGTGAACAGAAGACTACTAGGGGACTTGTACCTGTGTTCAAATATTTTAAGGACCATCACTTGGAAGAATGATTAGGCATGCTCAGCCTGACCCCAGAAGGCAGAGCTAGGAAAAATTAGGGGGAATAGGGAGGAGGAATTTGCAAAGGGGGTTAATGTAGGCTTTAATCAAGGAAATTCCCTAAAGGAGCGAGAGCTGTCCAAAAGTGAAATAGGCTGCCCCCCAGAGGTGTTTGGGTTTCTCCTCATTAGAGATTTTGAAGTGAAGATTATCTGTAGAAATTCAGAAGGGGGATTGTTAATATACAGGGATGGATCAGGGGTTCTTGACCTTGTTTGTGGCATGGACCCCTCTGGCATTCTGGTGCAGGCTCAGGGGCCTTTCTCAGAATCAAGTTTCTTAAAATGCATAAAATAAAATGCCTAGCATAGTGGGGGAAACCTGTCATATTGAAAAGATTAAGACTCCCTGGGAACTGGTCTTTGAGGTCTTGTCCAATCCTGCAATTTTGTGATTCCTTCCCAGTCCTAGCCCTCAACTTGTGAGACTATTTTCTTCCAATACCTACCCTGAGGAAGGCTTTGTAAATAAGAGTGTCTCACCACCTGTGTATTCTTTTTTGTTTGTTTGTTTTGGGGTTTTTGTCATGGTTTTGGAGGCAGTTGAGTTTAAGTGACTTGCCCAGGGTCATACTGGTAGTAAATGTCCCAGGCTAGAATTGAATTCAGGTCCTCTTGACTCAGGGCTGCTGCTGTATCCACTGCACTACCTACCTGTCCTACCATCTATGTATTCTGAGACTGTGTGTGTGTGTGTGTGTATTTTGAGGATAGGGGAGAGGTGCCCCTGCCACATTTTTTTGTCATCCTTCACAGCAGTCAAGTTGGGAAGGGACCCACAAACAAAGCCAGTACTCCTGAGCCTTGGGGAGACTTTGAGGCCAGCACTGTTTCACCTTAACCATTGATGTCCTGGCTCAGGGCCCTGGACTGAGGAGTCTGAGAAAACTTGGGAGGTTTGATTAGTGTTTGGGCTTCTTCAATATCTCATTCAACTCTCTACAGATTTGATGAACCTGTCCCAGACCTGTGCACCCTCAAGCGGCTGTCCTTCCAGAGTGGGGATGTTCCCCTGATCTTTGCCCTGGTGGATCATGGTGACATTGCTTTCTATAGCTTCAGGGATTTTACACTTCCCGTGGACCTGGCACATTGACCAACTGGCCTCCAGATCTCATTGGGATAGCCTCTGGCCTGGGACAGAGGTAGCCACCCACTGGATATGACGGGGCAAAGTGTCTCTTCAGTTTTGGCAGGCTTTGCTCTCAGGAATGTCTTATCACTCAGACCCCTAATTCTCAGCTGTCACCTGTATTGGAACCTTCTTCCTTATGTGTCTGATACTTTACCAGTGTTCATCCCAGCCCAAGCCACCTCCACAGGAGAGCAGGCTTGAAAAATGCCGGGCAAGTTATATTGCCCTCGTTGGGGAACATTCCTCATGTTTGCTCTGATTCTTCAGTGGTGCCCTTGGGACCTGGTGCCTTTCTTCCCACAGGCCAAATAAGAGGAATCTTGGTCCTGTTTTAATGTAAGAAAGGTTGAATACATCCAGGGAAACCTGGGTGAGGCTAAAATCATTAAACTCCTTTCTTCTGTCTGCTGTGACTGTGTATTTTAGGGTAGTTTGTCAAATCTTACCCACTCATCCTCCAACCTACAAAATTCCTAGACCTGGAAGCAATGATCAACTCTGTCCTCATTTCTGCTTTTGTGACCCTCCCTAGAAGGCAAAGACCTGTGTCATCCACTTTCATTCCCCCATCTAAAGTCACTTCTGGGGTATGGGGGTGGGGGGACAAGAATGTTATCTGCCTCACACCAGATGAGTAGGCAGCCTGGCATTCTTGATTATGAAACATTTTCCTCTATTTTTAGGTTTTGAGTAAGGAGAATAGGGTAAAACTTAGCCTTCTCCCTCTCTCCTCCCTCAGGACTGCTTCTCCTTGGTCTTGCCCTTTACATGTCAGAGTTGGTAGGTTAGTTTCTGTAGCAGAATGGTAGCATCTTCTGCCAAATTTCAAGGTACCAAGGTAAAGAGGCTGGGTATACAGAGAGCCATCCTCTGAGCTGCAACAAGGTCGTGGCTCTAACTTATTCCATGTGGGAACAGCTGTTCTGTGGAACATATCATGGAGTCCCCATGTGTCCCCTGCCTTCCAGGCTCCCACATTCACCAGATCACTCACTTTGATTCTCCTGCTGTCAACAGAATGGCCAGACCCAAGCCCCAAAACCTTTCTTGTGCCTTGGGGGTTTGGGGTGGGGAGGACATCCAAAGTTGGGAAGAATGCTTCTTGCTGTCCACCTCCAACTTAATCAGATGCCAGACAAGCGTTTCACCTTTACATCAAGTCTAGCCATCCACCCAGGCCATCTCACTATCTGCCTGCCCAGGGACCCCCTTTCCACTTCCCCAAAACAAAATTCTCTTCTCTGGTCGCTTCTGGTTTAAATATGTGGTCCTCTATTAGGGTGTAAGCAACCTGTGTGCTTTTTTAAGCTCCCTTTAAAAAAAAATCTTTGTAAACCTAGCCCTTTGAGGTAGTGACTGGCATATAGTAAGACCTTTTTTTTTTCATTCATTCTAGAAACTGGACGTTTTGTCAGCTAAGTAATCCTTTATTAGTGAGGTAATAGGGTTGACTCTCTTCGGAGCAGAAAGGAACTTTGTGAGTTTATAGGAAGGAGGACAGTCCCAACCCACAGTGGGGGATGGTCTAGAGGACTAGAGAGCAACATTTAAAGAACTACTTCACGCTTTCCCACGGGCGGTGGAACACAGGGTGGGGCGGGGACAGTAGTGCGGCTCCCAGGTACTCCCAGGTAGGCTAGGAGGTGGGCGTGAAATCCCATCTCATGAATATTCAGATTTAGCTTTTGGCCCGCCCTTTGCCTTCTCTCGATACTGGGATTGGACGTTTCCTCTTTCCTCACCCCTCTCGCCTCTGCTGCCTTTGCTTATTTTCCAGCTGTTCTTTCCCAATTCCACGAACTTTCTTCCTGGGAGTCTCGTGGTGGCCATCGGGCGGGACCGAGGGGACACAGTTCCCTGAGCTTCTAGGGAGGATGGGGTGGGGCCTCGCGGTTAGTCCAGAGGATCGGTGCCCCTCCCCGTTCTTTATGTAAATGGCTGGGCGTGCTCCACCTCCTCCCCGGCTCGGGGCGGTGGAGGTGACCAGGAAGGAGACGGCTCCTTAACAGCCTGTGGGCCAGGCGAAGGGGAGCTAAACCGAGCCGGCTGCAGGCTCCAGGAGACGCCGAGGCCTTGGGGCAGCGGCCGGTCCAGAGTTGCGGGTGAGAGAGGGCGCGGGGCTGAGTCCACTACCTGGGGACCTGCCCCTTGAGGGCGCCCGGAGACTGGGGCGGGGGGGGGACGACAGGCTAAGCTGGGCTGGGCAAGGATGCGCGTGGACCGGGGCCGGAGCTAAGACCTCCGAGGGGTTCCCTCCAGAGACGCCGGGTGGAAGGTCCGGAGCTGGGGGTCTCACCGTGCGGTCTCCTGGAGGCTTCCCGGGAGAGCGCAGCACCTGTAGAAAGCGGCGCCCGCCCGGAACTTCCCTCCGCGTAATCCATCCGTGATTGGTTGTGGAACTTGGGTTTCTAGTTTGCACAATCGTTTTTGGGGCTTGGCTGTGGTGGAACAGGTGCCCGGCCCCAGGTGGGGGAAGGGGTGCCGCGCCCAGGGGCACGCCAGAGTTTGCTTGGCCAGAGAGTACTCTACCCCCTCCAACCCCAGCTGCTGGCTTTGGAGGCTTTTTCCTGTTTCCTGATCGGGAGAGTTACTTTCTAGCTCTCTTTTCCTCCAGAAGGGACCTGTTGGAGTCATTTAACCCTTGCGACTCACCTCCTGCTCTCTGCGCGCTGGGGCTCTGGACTCTGTGAGCCTCTTAATCCTCGGCAGAGCAGACGCAGGAAGTCCGACGGCTATTTAACTCTTTCTTTCTTTCTCTCTCTCTCTCTCTGGCTCTTTTGCGGTACCAGTGTTTTCACACATCCTTCCCCTCCCAGGCTGTTTTGGACACTGGTTGGGTAGAAAAGCAGGCACCTTAAGTTGGAGAGTTGCCCACACCAGTTAGGGAGAGAGTAGGAAACTGAGATTTAAGGAGAAATGGAAAATCCCAGTGTTCCCCATGGCAAAAAAAAAAAAAAAGATCTTGGAGTCGTTCTTAATTCTTGATGTGGCTGGAATATTTGACCACTGTCGTAATGAGAGCTATAGTAGGAGAGGGTCTTCACATGCAGTTCTCCTTCCTCCGACTCTTTTCCTATATGCTTCTGGAATGGGTCTGAGAGGGCAACTCCTCTGCCAAGGTAGTTGCTGAGCTGACCTCCCTATTCTGAGCTTGGATTGGACTTTTAAAAATCAAGAAACTGTCTTGAGGCCTTAGCGCACGTGCTTCTTCTGGTGTAGTGGGTTGGAATGAAATTGTGTGGTTTTATGGACCTGGTCCTTGTTGGAAAATTGGAGTTAATGAAAATGTCTGTTGCTGGGGAGGGGCTGCAGCTTGTCTACAAAGCATACAAAGGCTGAAAGGGTCCTAGGCCTGGGCTAGGGTGTGGGGCAGAGAGAGAGAGAGAGAGAGAGAGAGGAGAAGCACATGAGAATAATTTGAGGCACAGAGGAAAGAATTAGAAGAGGGAAGATGGGGAGCTCAGTCAGCTTTCTTAAGTGCCTTTTTATGTTAGAGGCATTCAGCAAAAAGCAGAGAATTCAAAGACATGCAAGAGACAGACTAAGCTCTCAAGGAGCTCACAGTCTAAGGTAACAGGAGGAAAGGAATAAGAATAAGTTTGTATAAATAGCACCTACTATGTGCCAGTCACCTAGCTAAATGCTTTACCCATATTACCTCATTACATCACAGAGTCAACAAATGATCCAGAAGGAGATTTCAAGGAAGGGTTTGGATAAGGATAGAAAGGTAAAGGTCATGTCATCATAGGATCACTGGTTTGGAAGGAGCCTCAGCAATAATCTAGTCCAACCTTTTCATTTTACAGATAAGGATACTGTAGAAAGGGAAGGGATTTTTATCCAGGATCTTACAGGTAATAATTACATGTCAAAATTCAAAGTCAGGTTTTTTCCCTTCAAAGCCCATGGACTTTCCATTTTACTGCAGCTGATGAATAATCCAACACTCTCCATTTACTCATAATTCCACTGAGGCCTGGCCTGAGAAATGAACTAACTTATCCGGGGTCACAAAATCAGTAGTGGGAGAGCCAGGACTAGATCACAGGTCACTGTCTCCTCCCAGTCCTCTACCTGTTTCCTTTGCACCAAATTAACACATCTATAATAATATTAATAAAAGTTAGCATTTATATAGTCCTTTAAGGCTTGCAAAACCCTTTACATGTTATTATCCCCATTTTATAGATGTGGAAACTGAGGCCAAATTAATTCTCCAGGGTCCTACAGCTATCTTAGGCAGTATTTGAACTTCAGCCTTCTGGACTCCCAAGTACAGCACTGTATTCACCGCATCACCTAGCTGCCATTATCTGTAGCATGTCTGGAATAGATTGGTCAAGTAATTTTGATGCTACTAGGCAGAATTTCAAAAGACCAAGATCACCGTTGGGGAGGGGCAGGGGGACGAGTGAAAAAATATCTCTTCCTCCCCCCCCATTGGGTCAAATACCTACATCTTTTTGAGGTACCAGTATGGCATAGAACCTGAGATGAATATAATAAGTATTTATATAATGCTTTAAGATTTGCAGAGTGCTTTAAAGTATTATCTCATTTCGTCCTCATGGAATCCTAGTGAACTAAGTGTTAATATTATCGCCATTTTAAAAATGAGGACACTGAGGCAGAGAAGCAAAGTAAATTGCCCAGGCTGCGCACAGCTAGTGAGCATCAGAGGTTTCAGGTCTCCATGACTTTTAAGTCCAGTACTCTTTCCATTACGTGCCCTAAGTAGTGACTCAAGAAAACTTTTTAATCTTTTGTTTTTAGCATTCTTTGCATCTTGACCTAGGCTTTTTGAGGGACCGTGTGTGGGGAGGAGGTCATAATGGTGGAAGTTCAGTTGGCATTGTATTTTTTGAATCAAGGACAGAATGTGGTTGAGCAGTGCCCAGTTAAATGACCTATTTATGGGTGCTTTTTTTCCATTTCATAGAAGAATTAGGGGTTGGAAGACCAGGGTTCCCTATGGCCTAGTCACAGGCTTTTCCTGAGTCTAACTTGGGAGAAGAGGGGCTGGCTTGAATTAGAGGGAGTGACCACTGCTGAAAGTAGCCAGATTGCTAACTCTGACAAGTATTAGCAAACAGAGAGAGAGAGAGAAAGAGAGAGAGAGAGAGAGAGAGAGAGAGAGAGAGAGAGAGAGAGAGAGAGAGAGAGAGAGAGAGAGAGAGAGAGAGAGAGAGTTCTTTTAGGCTCATTGTTCAGGTACTCCATCAAACAGGGTGTACAAATTCCCAGGGTGCATGGTCATTAGGCTGAGTTTTCCAGGGGCTCAGGCAGAACTTCTTCCTCCTATTGTCTTCTGGGGGACCCCCTGTTCTATAGTCAGTAGAATTTGTGGAGATCTTAGTTCCAGGGACCTCTCCACATTGGAAAAGTGCTATCTGGGACCTATCATGTTTTGGGTCTCGGCATTCTGGCTTTGGCTCCTTAACTATTTGAGGTATGTGGTCACTGGACTTGTTATATGTAGTAGAGATTCCCTGCTCTAGCTCCAGGTTGCTCTGGTTGCCTCATTGATGCTGTGTCCCTGTAACACTTATGTGCTTATTCATGGAGCTGCTAGGGCCTGGGCCAAGGCAGGGGTTTGTTAACCTTTATTTGTGTTATGGATTCCTTTGGCTGTCTGAAGCCTGTGGACTTCTTCTCTGGATGATGTTTATAAATACAAAAAATAAAATACATCATTACAAAGGCAACCAATTATATTGAAATACAGTTAGCAACTATTTGTAACAAAAACCAAAAAAATTTACAGAGCCCGGGTTAAGAACCGTTAAGTTAGGGGAGTGAGCACAAACACCCAGAGCTTCTGGAGTTGGAAAATTCTTCCCAGAGGCCCAGTGTTCTGGGACTTGGCTAGCCAACTAGGCCTTCCAGCCTAGACCTGGTGACTTTTCAAGGACCATGAGGGAAGGCTCTTCCTTAGTTGCTTAGGGAATTTTGCTTGAGCAAAAAAAGTTCTCACCTCTTAGATCCCCTCTCTGGCATGAGCCAGGGAATTTCTTAACCTTCTTGGTGACTTTTTTCAATTGCTGCCCAAATCTCTATAGTTAGGATTTGAACCTGCTATGGAGAAAAGAAATACATAGTGAATCTTGATCCTGAGTGAGCAGAGATCAGAGGCTCAAATACCTAGAGCCTCTAGAGACCTTTGAGGTCATTTGATCCAACCCTCTCATTTGGGGGCCAACAACAAGAAGCATTTATTAAACACCTACTATATGCCCAGGGCACTGTGCTGAGCTGGGGGCCAGAAGAGGTTAAGTGCCCAGCTCTAGGGAAAAAAAAGAATGAGAGGGAGAGGGGAGTGACTACAACCTTGTCTGTAAGGCATTGAATGGGGCATATATTTAGGGTCTATCCTCCCTGTTTGCACTTGACCAGTAGAGGCCTTCTTTGGGGATTTGGCCCGTCTGCTTTGAGGGAGATCTTCCCCAGGGCCTAGCAGTGGAATAAATTAATGAATGAATGACCATTTATTAAGCATTTAACTCTCTGCTGGGTGCTAACAAGCAAGCTAGACCACCACTTTTCTCAATGAGCTTACATTCTAATAGAGAAAATAATGCATAAGTAAAGGGCAGTTGGAAAGTTAAGGGGGGGAAGGGAGGTATACTGTAGTGGCAGCTTGGTTTGGAGATGGCCAGGAAGGAATGTGAAGGCCTGGCTCCTGGCAAAATAAAGTGAAAACTCACCTTTCAGAGCCCAGGGATCTGGAGCATGTGGTTCCAAGGACAAGGATGGCTGGCATATAGACAAGTAAGACATTTGCTTAGCACTCACCATGTGCCCAGCCCTCTGTTAGTGAAAGATTATGCTGGAGTTCTGGGGAATCACTCCAGTAGTTCTTCCCTTTTCAAGGGACCTACATTGAATTCTTGGTTTAGGAGAGGCTTTTCAGGAGTGTGTAGGGCAACTGCTCTGTTTTTGTGATCCTCAGGAATTTAAAGACCAGCGTTTACTCCTGAGGCAACTGGCCTAATGATCCCAGGGTTTAGGGTAGGTGGACATCCTGGGAATGTAACTGAGTGCTTGGGTGTTGTGGGGCCCAGGCATGCAGCGGGGCCAGATAATTTCCTTAAAGCACGTT